TGGATAAGTCGAACTAGGTTTAGCACAAGAACAAACAAAATAATCAACACTTGCTGAAGTCTAGAGTTCGCCAAATAAACACTAGAGTTCGGTTAAATCAAGGTGGATAGATCCTAAGCCCCAAATCACATGTTCATCACGAGTAGTTTCATTACTACAAGTGCATCAATTACATAACAAGTATTTTCATTAATACTTTAAGCAAAACATACGTTAGGAAGCGTGGAGTGACGGAGACGAGTGGTCATAACACAAGGTCTAAACACATAATCACATCTTAAACCAGTCTACAGAAACGCAGACTGGCTCTGATACCAAACTGTAACACCCCACCTTGATTTTAAAGAAATTTCGGACTTTCCAAAAATCATTGTAAAATTTTTGAAATCATTTTCGAAAATTTATTGGGTGTTTAAACAACATTTTTCATAACCCAAATCTTATCTGGGCTCACGGGGATTCATTACCCGGTTTTCACAAATAGTTTTCATTAACTGAAACATATCACGAGACATAATTCTCAATATGAATATATAATCAATCCATAATACCCAACAATCTGGGTTCCACAAATTTCCAAAACAAGCAAGTCATAAGTTTTGTAAAATAACATAATCAATTCTCAACAAAAGGGTTCATAAAGCCTGATTCATACGGAAGCAATAAATAAAAATTGACCGACCCACTCGCCTCTTCTCGTCACCCAGCTCCTGCTTAACCTGCATCGGTAAAGAGCAGGTGGGGATGAGCACTAGATGAAAAGCGTGCTCACCACTATGCACATAAATAATACATGTTTAGATGGTATGGTCGCAGTATGAATATAAATCAATCATCATCATGTCTCATCTCCTAATCTCAACAATAACTCACTTATGTGCACATCTATCATTAGCCGCGGAAAGGGGATGCATAAACCCTAACGACGTGAGTGCATGCCACTGTAACGGACACGGCCTTTCATTAGGTCTTAAGGAGACTTGCCTCGCAAGGGCAACCATACCGTAACTCGACGGGGACAACCGTACCGACGGCCGTAACAGCTCACATCAGTAGGCCACATGGTTCACATTCATACATAGGTCATACCAACCAAACACTTAAACACACGTATGGCATAGAAAATTTTCATAAGTGAAACCCACCTGGTACAGCAAGGAAATATGGCACACAACGGGAGTAGGCAGCGAGCACGGCTCGTCAGACACCTACAATAATTTAATACTAAGATCAATATCTATTTGACCTTAGAGAACAATCACAAGCATACATTGGTCGAAATTGATTCAACCAAGTAGTTCGTGAAGTTCCGTGGATATTGGAACACTTGGGTCCTACATCTAGACGTGACCAAAATGCATAATAATAACACATATAGTCCTAGCACACTAAACAAGGTCAAAATGGTCAAAGGCACACATAAGGGTTCGGGAAAAATTTCAAGAAAAGCTTGGGTCAGGCCCCGGGCTACTCGTTGGCACGATGGTGCACGGCTGGGTGCGGCTGGGATGCGCACAGGCGCTGTGATACAGAAGTGGCTTTCGAAGCCCGAGGACGTCGAGAGTCAATGGCCGAGACGGTTCGAGAAGGCCGAGAAAAGGGCTAAAAGCACGCATGCGAGGCGCACGAGCACGAAATTCCCGAGTGAAGGAAAGGACTCGGGCTTATCACACGAGGTCAAGACGCGCATGGCCGAGACTTGGAAACCATGCAAGTCGACGTCGAGGACTAGGTGAGACCCGGTATGAGACACGCGCACGAGAAGGTTCGAGAAGCCTCGTGAGGCGAGGAATACCGTGCGAGCAAGCGCGAGGGGGCGTACACGGACGTGATGCACGAATACACGAGGCGAGCCGAGCGAGCCGAGGGCGAAGTTTCTATAACATTGTGATTAGTTTTAAATTATTTTATTATTAGTGTTAGATTAGTTTAACTAATATGTTAATGGCGTTAGATGTTAAGTTAATATATATTTATTTGTTATGTTAGCCGAGAGTTTGATTAGGTTAGTATTTATTTGGTTTATTTTGTTAGTTTAGGCGTATAGTTTAGTTTATTAGTTTATTAATATTATATTTAGTTATTAGTTAGTCGTTAGTGTTAGGATTTAGTTTAGTAAAATATTTATTGTCGTAAATACTTATTTTAGATGGTTAGGAGTTTTATTTATTTTGGTAAGTCTTGGGATGCAAGACATTTAGTTGCCTTAGGACTAGATATTATTTCCTAGTTAGAATTATAGCTCTCATAGGACTAGATCTAGTTTCTCCTATAAATACCCTTGTACTCTTATTATTTTTCATATCGAAGAATTAATAGAAAATCGAACGTTTGTTCACCAACTCTTGTGTGTGAGTTTACATACAAAATCGTGTTAGAAATAGGACCAACATCCGGGTTTGTTCACACCTATCGTGTT